TAAAATTTTATATAGTATTGAAACCTGAGGACACTTTTAAGTTATATATCTCAGAATCTCTTTCAAAATAAATAATAACGGATCTTCTAAATTATCTGTAATTAGAATGTAATGTATAATACAATTGGATTAATTAATTAAAATTCAAATATTAACACATGTGTTCAGAATTCATAACACGATTATCACGAATGTGTGCAATTAGAACGAGTTACGTAATTAGGACGACTTCTCGTGATATTACTCAGAAATGAAGAACCGAGAATAATACAAAATTAATCTCTAAGCTCGAAAACGAGAGTGGAAAAGTAAAAAGAACGCGAAAGATTCGAAAAACCTATTATTGAAGCAAATAACTTGTATCCGTTTATCGCGACCGTTACACTCGAATAATAACTACAGAAGTAGCTAGCAACGCTATTTCGTAGAACTACACTGTTAAATCTATAGTGTCAAATTTAATTTAACGTGAGTCGCCACTGCTCCTACTCAATCATATCGTTATTTTATACAAAAATAATGATTATATTTGACACTATACAGTATCAATTTAATATAAATTAAATTAACACGATATAGAGTCAAATTTAACTATCGTTTTGGTAAAAAATAATGATATATTTAGTAGGAGCAGTGGCGACTCACGTTAGTTTAAATTTGACACTATAGATTTAACAATGGCATTATATTAATGCAATCTTGTTTCAAGTGGCTTAGTTCTGTTATACTTAGTGTTCCAATTATTTCTTCAACATATACGTGTAACACATGTACATGCAATACATACATATATGTAATACATACATACATACATACATACATATGTACATGTATATGTGAGCGTATAGGAAGAAAGATATAAAGCAGGGGGATGTTATCTCCCTCCCTCTTTTTGATCTATCGTCATTACCCTCGCATGAAATTACCCTCGCATGTGTAATGAATGCACCGTCTATCTTTCTGTTCGAATCGCTATTAACTGGAGACTGCAAAGATTCACGATATATCCTATCGCATCGATCAGCTGATCGCTCTCTCACGACCTAATAATTTCCCGGTAAAATTCCGATCTCGTTTAACGCGCGGAAGGATGCCGGCAACATCGATACTCATCGTTAAATGCAAATCTTCAAAGTCATACATAAGTGATTGGATAATTTCCGACATTTCCAATATGAGATTCATATTATTATTATTATTACATTAGAACTTTATATTACTATCATATTACTTTTTTCAGTAAAACGCAAAAATTTGATACGATGCATAGGGTGCATCATCTGTGAATCAGTTCGTTTCACTAAATAGGGGGCTTTGAAAACTTATATAGTCGCGCGACATTGTAAAGTTCGTACTCGACTCATCGCGAATGCTAAAAGGATATAAAAGTTTCGTAACGTCAACTTACATGCCGCATTTCCTCCGCATTGTCCGCGCGCGTGTTAGTCCATCGCCGCTGAATCGATACCGGCCAGTTACGTCGCGCTTCTGGCCTGTACCCAATCCAATCCTGAACGACCGTTTTACTCATTAACGAAACTTCGTCTATCAACGATGTTGACATCAACGTGCGAAAGTGTTTTACGTAGATCTCGAAAGTCGATCGTTCTCAGCCTGATCTTCCCGAAAGAGAGAGAGAGAGAGAGAGATGATCGCTCGCGCGTGGCTAACGCCAACTCCGATCGTATAAAGCCAGATCTACATAAAACGCAGAACGCGAGTCGCAGGTCGCAAGCTTCTTGCGTTAGCCAATCTCGAAGCGTCACTTTTAAAATTGACGCATCGGATTGGTTGACGCAACAAGCTTGTGACTTGCGAATCGCGTTTTGCATCTTATATAGATCAGGCTTAATCGCGACCACCTTTTGCTATCCGATTGAACGATTTTTTTCGTCAAAGTGCTTCATTACCGCGATGTTTATTAACCGTCCGCTTGCAATTATATTTTTACTCCCTCCGTCTGCATTCTGATTCTTTTTTGTCCAAGTTTTTTTTATTGTTCGAAGCTTTAAAAAAAATTCAGGATTATATTACCAAATTCGTTTCTTAACTTAAATGTTAAAATCTTTATTTAATAAAAATTGAAATTTGAGCAGAAATGAGGAAAAAATTTGAGAGTGAAATATCGCTTGTGCCAAAAAAGACCCAAGTTGCAGACAAAGAATCCTAATTCGCTTCCGGTTTAACACATTTTACGATGTCCTACATTCTCCTGCACTTTTCCATCTTATTCTATTATGTTCTTGCTATTGAGCTCATTAGTCAGGGTTACGTTTGTTTTCCTTTCGTTATGCGGTTGTAACGAGTCTTTAAAAATTCAATGATACGAAGACATTTACATTACGACGACATTGACGACGGTATTATCGTAACACTTGCGCACACGTTAAAGCTCGGTTTTACGAGGAAATTGTTAGCAACCTAAACTGTTTGCAATTTAAGGAGATTGTAAGGGCATAAAATACATACATTAATATTTAAACAAACTACGTACATAAATGAAAGTTCGTAACATTCTGTTTTTATTGAGCAAGATATTTTTATAGATCATTAATTTTATTTGTTATTATTTTTACTGTTATAAAAACAATTTTTACAACAAAATTTTTAAACAAAAATTTTAAAAATAACAAAAATTAAAATTTTTTTTATATAAGTACTTTAAGTATTAAAAATGACTTAAGCAAAGTTTCATTGAGTTTCACCGATTAGTTTATAACAAATAAATATTTTGTTTATTTACCGAACAATTAATGTCTGCATCTCAATGTAATTTTACAATTACACAAATATTCTTGAATTCAAGTACTTATATAAAAAAATTGAGATTTTTATCATTATTTTATAATACATTTTCATATATTTCTATTAAAATACAAATTTAAAAAATATTACTTTTTATTGAAATAACTTTTGATCCAGATGGTAAAAAAATTTGAAAAAATTCAATAATTAATTCTTTTGTATAAATATTTTATGAATTCAAAAATATTTATGCAAAATTACATTGAGATGCAGACATTAGTTGCTTAGTAAATAAACAAAATATTTATTTGTTATAAATTAATCGGTGAATCTCAATGAAACTTTGCATAAGTCATTTTTAGTACTTAAAATATTTATACAAAAAAAATTCAGATTTTTGTTATTATTTTTAAAATTTTTGTTTATAACAATAAAACTAATAACAAATAAAATTAATAATCTATAAAAATGTGTTGCTCAATAAAAACAGAATGTTATGAACACAGCTCTCACATGTAAGTAGTTTGTTTAAAGCGTAAATATTAATAAATGTGTTTCATGCCCTTACAACCTCCTTAATAGCCTCATTCCTTCTAATATTTGTGTTGTACGTAATAAAATATCCTTATGCTCACGAAGTAAAACTGGAATACGGTAGATACTATCGCCTCGCGAGCTCTCTTCGTATACAACAATTTGAGATGTATGTTTCATACTCGGTCTTTATTGCAGAACTAAACGTTTAATCTTCCGGTATATGTATAATATAACGTAGATAACAAGAAACACGTCGAAACGATGCAAGGGATTAAAACCGTTCTGCGCAGCGTGCGGATGCAACGAGTTTCGACGATGACGAGCATACTTATAGATATCCCTGGCTTGTCTTTTGCGCGTATAGAGAAATATTCCTTACACGTAAATTTCACCGCAGATATAAAGAAGTCACGTGTCTCCTCCAATTGGCCCGTCATCGGCGATTGATGGAAAACGTGTTTCATATATAAACATTATTTTAGATTATCGTATTTATATGTTTATTTTATGTGTATGTGTGTGTGTGTGTGTATGTTTTTATTATGTGCGTGTTTGTACATGCATGTGTGACGACTAGTTGTACAAATAGTATGGATCATACTCACGACGAGTACGCGCATCGTACTTTCATTCCCTTTCTCTCTTTCTCTCTCGCACAATCTCTCACGACGAATAAAGAAGATAAGAGACAAATAGATAACGAACGATGCACGATACGACTCTCTTCGCAATGTGGTACGGTACCTCCTTCTCGATTCGAGTGCCGTGTGTGTAACACGAGAGAAAACTGAGGGGGTGAATGAGCGATGGAGGGCGGAAGGCGGGTGCTTACCGAAGAGTTGGCGAAGACACCGGGGAAGGGGGGAGGGAGAGACGACGTTGTCGTATGTGTAGGAGGGAAAGGGAACGGAGGAGATAGGAAACGTCGTTCGCAAAGACAACGAGAGACTATATATGTACAAGGTAACTTCGGTACGGTGACATTTCCGACGCTGATAACAGTTAATCATTGGGAACAAACTTTACACACGGCCTCCTCCGTAAACCGGATCATAAAGCTTTAATAGATGGCAGAGGACACGGGGGGGGGGAGGGGGAGGGCAAGGGTATATAGAGGAATATGAGAGTGGCGAATGGATACATACATATATATGTATGTATGTATATATAGTATACAGTCGTTTTTATTACGTTACTGAATCGATTAACCGGCTAAAAAAAGAGACTTCATGTAAAAAGTGATGCTGGCGTGTGACGTCTACTACATACGTAACAACAAAAGTTATGTGTGTATATAATTTTTTGGACGCTTGAACGCCAGCGTGTAAACGTCCCATATATCAATCCGCGTCGCGTTTACTCTCTTCCTTTTCTACTTTTGTCTAGCGAATTCGGTCGCGAGACGCAACAAAAAGACGCGCCAATTGCCACGTGCTCCTTCACATACTTCTCTTCCTCTCTATCTCTCTTTCTTCCCCTCGAAAATAACACACCCGGAAGAGTTTCTTCCAGTATATCGCTTACGAGAAACTTTGCCTCAGGAAAAAACTTCACTCCCGTTTCGCCTAGTCAACAGCTTTCATATATTACACGCGGATACGCGCGCTGATACACACAGATGCACTCTTTTCTCTTTCTCTCTCTCTCTCTCTCTCTTTCACTCTTTCTCTCCCGCTCTTTTACTCTCCCTCTCGCTCGCTCTTTCACTCTTTCTCTCCCGCTCTTTTACTCTCCTTCTCGCTCGCTCTTTCTTTCTCTCTCTCTCTCTCTCTCTCGCAAAAAAAAGCGAATCACCAACGTGACGACGGCGATGACGAAGAAGCGCCGTGCCGCGTCAGCCCGACGATGAGGCGCGGACACGACGTGCGTATCCACCTCCGGTTGCGAGCAACTTGCCGACCTGGCGCAGCGTTCAAAACTCGGCGAACTCCTTGGCGCACTTTTCCGTCAACGAGATCCTCAGAGTCTCCTCCTCATAATCGTCGAAATTGCTGGTGTCGCCTGGTCCCTTGCAGCGCGGTATGAACGGCGCCTCTATTCGCTTCTGGAAGACGGCTATCCAGTCGGTGCTGGCGAACCACTTGTGGCCCTTGATGTCGTTTACGCCCGCCTTGAGGTTGCCGTACCTCTTGGTGAGGTCGACCTGCAGCAGATTGCGCAGTAGATCCTTGAGGTCGGAGCCGAAGTGTGAGGGGAAGCGTGGCTTGCCGCTCACGATCTTCTCGTAGATCTGGATCGGCTGGTCAGCGAAGAATGGTGGATAGCCAGCAGCCATCTCGTAGACCAGCACGCCCAGTGCCCACCAGTCCACCGCCTTGTTGTAACCCTTGCTGAGAATGATCTCGGGCGCGAGGTACTCCGGGGTGCCGCACAGAGTCCACGTTCGTCCTTGCACTCTCTTGGCGAAGCCGAAATCGGTGACCTTGAGGTAGCCCTGCGAGTCGATGAGCAGGTTCTCCGGTTTCAGGTCCCGATAGATGAGGTCGAGGTAGTGCAGGTACTCGAACGCGAGGACGATCTGAGCCGCGTAGAAACGCGAGTGCGGCTCGGAGAAGCGGCCGACTTTGCGGAGATGGCTGAACATCTCGCCACCGGGCACGTACTCCAGCACCATGTACAGGTAAGAGTTGTCCTTGAAGTGAAAACGCAACGATACGAGGAACGGAAAACTGATAGCTTGCAGTATCCTCTTCTCGTTGAGCGTATGCTCGACCTGTTTCAGCTTGACGACCTTCTGCTTATCGAGGATCTTCATGGCGTAGTACTCTTTAGTAGGTTTGTGCTGGACGATCATCACGCGACCGAACGAGCCGGTACCGAGGGTCTTGATGCGTTCGAAATCGTCCAAGGCGGCGGTGTTGGTCGGATTCTTCTTCCACTTGTCCTCGAACTCCTTCTTCGCCTTGTCGAGGAACTCCTTGACGCTCTCGGCAGCGTCGACCTTTTTGTTGGCGGTCGCGGCATTGTTACCCATTTTAGATGCCGCGCTGGTGCCCGTGTCTGCCAAGGCAGCTTCACGGGCAGCTTCACGGGCCTTCTGCCTCAGGTAATCCAGAGGGCTGCTACGTCTTCGTCGGCGTGCGTCCGCGTCCGCAACCGCCGATGAGCCTGCCAGGGCTCCGGTGAGCTCCGGTCTTCTCAGAATTTTTGCTACCTTCTAACACGCGCTGTCGATGGTCCAGACGTCTCTCCCGCGGGTCACGCGACACGCTTCCGCGCACCGACAATGATTGTTGACGATAATGAAGACGGAGTCTTTCCCGTTATTGTCCTCGCTCCTAGAGACCGGGCTGGACCTGGTCTTTTCGGGGGGTGGGGGGAAGGGAGAACCGCGCGCGCGGCACTTTGGGGACACCGTCGAAAAGAGGTGATCTTAGGGAAGAGAGACGGAGACGGGTAGTTACAACACGCACACTTCGCGCGAGTATATTATCACACGGTAGAAAAAACAGGCCACACACAAAACACACACACGCAAGGGGGGTAAGAGAAGCGCGCGCGCGAGCGCGAGCGCGACGCGAGAGAGAGCGGCACCCTTTCCTCTCTCGCTGTCCCTCTCTCTCTCTCTCTCGGCTTCCTTCCCTGGCTGTCGCCGAGTATATTCCTCCCGGCTAACGTCACCACACTCCGCGAACGGCGCTCGCCCACATCAAGCGAGACCGAGTGAGAGCCAGAGAGAGGGGGGGAGGAAGGCGAGGGAGAGATCTCTTCTCCGTCGTCGTCCTTTTCGCGAGGGGCTCCCGACTCCCAGAGATTTGCCAAGTCGGAAAAAAATGGGTCAGCAGCGATCCTCGTCCGCGGCTCGCGCCATCTTCTCTGTCAATTGTACCAGTTTGTCGTCGTTGTTTGGCGGTGGTGACGGCGGCGGGATGCCGTGTCTCTCCTCTCTCTCTCTTTTTCTCTGCCTCTCTCGTTCTCTCTCTCTCTCTTTCTCTCCTTTCTCTCGCGTAAAACACACGATCCGTCGGTCGGTCCGACCTCGAAAATCTCGTCTATTCAACCTGCTCCGTTTTGATCAGAGCAATTAAGTGTCTCGCCCTCCTGCCCCCGTGTCCTGTGGCCGACACGAGCAAAGTCACACAGCACCAAGTTTCACTTGCACGCGAAACGGCACGAAGGAGAGCGAAATCGCACTCGCCGACGTCCTGACCGACCGAACCTCCGAATCGTTTCTCTTTGCTATGGTATTCACTCACCCAGTCCTCACGTTCCCCGCGGTTGCCGCGTTGCAGTCCTCCTCGTGATGTTCGTACGGAGAGACGAGAACGGGAAGGTGTCTCGTCGTACGAGGATACTCGATACTGTTCGCGGACGCGCACCTTGTCTTCTTTACACCCCGGCACGTTAATGTAAATCGAGCGCGCGACAAAACGGGGCGGCACAGTCGATATTGGAGCTCGCTCACGGCGGTGAGATCGCTTCGCGTTTCCCGGCACGTCGCGTCGTGTCGCGTCCACGGAGGCGCACACGGCGCTTCCAGAGTAATGTGTTACGATTGTCGTCGGCGACCAGCGACGGCGACAGCGATGACGTCGACGGAGACGGCGGCCGGATGGGTACAACCGTGTCTAAAGATGGCGACGCGACTCCTCCACCGCTCGTACGTTCGGGGGGGTTTTTCGCACGAGTGCGAAAGTGACGAAGTGCCGCTCTAGGAGGCGAGAGAGCTACTGTGTGCCGCGGGTCAGCTGTTGCTTCCACGCGCCGCCGAGAGATGTAGCGTCGTACGGACGGCGCGCCGAATCGGCAAGTGCTGCTGCTGACGGCAGCGCCCGGAACTGAGCCACTCCGAGCCGACCCGAAGTTAGCCGAAGATCGAAACCTCGGCGACGTTCGTGCAACGTCATGTGATAACGCAGTACGCACGTAGACGTATAGAATCGGAACGACGCTAGCTTATTCTAAGGAAGCATTTAGACGAGACTTGCCGACGTTATTTTAGTGTTATTTAAACATTATTTTAAAATTCAAAGTTTATATCGCGATGTTACTTTTTTAATATAAATTTTTACGACTTATGTCCGCGTTTCTATGTAGATTAAATTAATTTTGACCGTTTTTCAATGTATATACCGCCAGTCCTGAAATTCTATAGTATACGTAACGTGAATTATATATTTTCAGTATCGAATATGGCTTTAATCTCGGTTCAACTTATTTTTTTTATCCTTTTCTCTCTCTCTCTCTAATTCGTAAATTAGAAAAAGATTAGAAAAATAGGTTGAACCGAGATTAAAGTTAATCTACATTGATAGAAATAGACATCATTGATGTTAAAATCGTAATATGAAGGCAATCATAAAAAAATCAGAAAATAATGTTTCGTACACATATACGAATATTTGATAATAAAAATTAAAAATGTCTGTGATTATTAATACCACTATTTGTATTTAAGAATACATTAAACATATTTTTTAACAAAATGCAAAAGTTATCGAAAACCTACTTAGTTTTTTCTAAATTTAAAAGTAATACAAAAAATTTGACAACGGAGAACCTGGATCAAAAATTATTTTAATAAGAAAAAGACGTTTTTAAAAAATAATTAAAATAAAATGAGAAAATTTTTATTTGAACTCTTAATGTCCATATTCAGGACGCGTTACTAAAGATGTTAGCGCGTGTTTTTGTCATTCTATCTTCATCGTTCATTAGACAAAAAACAAGGATAGAATGATAAAAACACGCACTAACATCTTTAGAAGCACGTTCTGAATACGGGCCTAAGACTGTAGATAATTAAATATAAATATTAACTTAATCGAGCTGTTTCACGCGGACGTAACGTTCATTTTTATACGGAGAATACAAATTTCTAATTCCAGCCATTTATTTTTGTAGAGATTATACATCTGATATATCCTTAACGTCTCTCTAATCACATGGCAACGTTATTAAGATTGCGGATTACAAGTATTTGTCATATTGTTACCTAATCGTGCGCCGACAAATGCTTTTGTTATCACAGAATGTTATTTCCAGAGTAAAGAGACTTTTCTTCAAGAGGACCGCCTATCGAAATACGCTTAGGTTTGAAAACAGCCATGACCCCGTTTCGTCGACATTCCTAAACGTCTCTCTTTTCAAAAAATGGGGACCGTTCGGGGCCCCGGAGGTGTCTCGAGCCAGCCCTGAATCGCGCAACGAGCTCCAAGAAGACGATTGTGTCATGTTCCTCGACAACGAGAATGGCACTTCTCTGAGTCAGCCGACCGAAAAACTTATGTCGTTCCGTCGTCAAGGTTGCTTTTAAAATTTGGAACCGCTGTAATCACGCGCGCGCACACCGGCGCGACCGCGCTTTTTATCTAACTCTCTACGCAGATAACGTCACGCGAATTCCCGCGCGCCTTCGCGACTTATCGCTCGGGAAACGCAACGTACTCACGAAAGCGCAGACACATGCGTAACCACGAGAATTATCGTCGGCAATCTAATGCCGTGCCCGATATATCGTTACGCGCCGCGATAAAATTCCTCTCTTATCCTCTTTCCTTCCGAGATACCGCTGAGCAAAATCTTTCTCTGGCGTTGTACGTGCCACACTGTAGATACTTCTCATTGTCATTTGTACTTCCAGTTCAGTTATTTGCATTCTAAATCCAAAAACTTATTTGCGAATTTGGTTGCAATTGTGGTGCGCTCACCACTAAACGCTAAAAAAAAAGCATTGTACGCAATGTTACTCTCGAAATTTTTTGTAGTGAAATCACACTCCAAAAGAGTTAAAATACTGCCACTATTGAAGAAGAGTGAAAAATTTGTATTCTTGAATAAGAGTGACAGATTTTCACTCATTTTTTTTTTAGTGAAATTTCACGCTTTTAAAGTGAGACTACGTTTAACGCACTGATAAAAACAGTTTTAACTGATTAAAACAGTGAAAACCGTTTTAGTTAAAACCGGTGTTGGTGCCTGTTTACACGATCAGGCGTATTTTACCTCCAAAAATAAAGTAGCTTTATAAAACCTGATACGGAACTTGAGATGAAATATCCTTTGTTATTTTTTAACCTTAACGTCTAAAGTTTGTATCACATCGAATTTTGATACGTTAAAACTGATTGAAGCCGTTTACATGGCTTTCTTAAAACAATTTAATAATGCCAAACCTGTTTCAGAAGAGGTTCGGATTTACTAAAACGGTTTTAATAACATCTGCATTAAAGGACGTTTACAGGACATCTAACACCGGTTTTAACTAAAACGATTTTTACTAAAACGGTTTTACCAGTGCGTGTAAACGTAGTCTGAGATTCATTCCAAAAAAAGGAGTAAGATTTCTTTCCTTTGGAATAAATCTCACTCCAAAAAAAAAATAAAAATCTGTCACTCTTATTCAAGAGTCAAATTTTTCATTCTTTTTCATTAGTGGCAGTATTTAACTCTTTTAGAATGAGATTTTACTCCGAGAAATTATAGAATACTACAGCGGCCCCTAGTTGAGCAATATTATTACACAATATTTGATATTGCACAAAATTATTGATCATTTAAAGATTATATTGATATCTATTTTTTATTGATTATATTTATTATATTGATATTTATTTTTTATCGTCTAAAGGAAACATCATTAATAAACAATTGTACAATAATATTGATCATCTGGAAGCCGTTTAATGTCTCCATGTAGATTAGAAACTCTATAACAGAGTCCAGCCACGAGCAATTTTGTCAAAACGAGAGTGAAAAGAAGGATATATGTGATGTCTCTTTTATATATGCTATCTTATTCTAACTTACTGAAGTTGACAAAAATGACGGTCAATTAAAAGTTTAACATGGCCAGATTCTGTTACAGGGTCTGTTATACGTGGTCTACAACAGGCAAAAGCAGTAGTGGATTAAAAAGTATAGGCATAGAAATCAACAAATCATGGTCGAATGTAAGGAGGATAGTCAACTATGATTGGTTGATTTTTACGCCTACTCCTTAATCCACTAATGTTACTGCTCATTGTAGACCAAGTATAATATAGGTACGTAGATTAACTTTCTACCAACGTAGATTAACTTTAATCTCGATCTTATTTTTTATCCTTTTCTAAAACGGCCCCTAGATGATCAATATTATTGCACAATGTTATTGATCGTTTGGAGGTTATATTGAGCCTCCGAACTATTAATTTGGAATTGTTTAAAGAAGGTATA